AAATGCCGGACATATGGTGCCCACCGATCAGCCCAGGGCTGCCTTGGATATGATGAACAGGTTTATTAGGAATCAACCCTTTGGCCATTGATTTGATATATAAGTTAAATATAAATCATATGTCTATTTATTAATTAAGAAAATAAATGAGTTGTCTTTTATGACTTTTTATTGGTTACATTTATTCATTATTAAAAGTAAAAATTTATTACATGTCATTATTTGAATGAAATTACATTACAGTAATACGAAAATATATAATTTATATTAAAATCACAGTTGAGTGTAATATCACAGATAATTTAAGGCAAGTTTTATAGGATTTGAAATGAAAACAACACATTATTCAGAAGATTTATGTTTAAAATTGTGTTATTTTTTCAAATTATTGGAATTGGTTTGAGTTATTGTATTAATTATTATTATTTGACTTCAATGTTGTACTTAAGTTTATGGTACGGTGTATGAAACACAAGTATGAAATAAACTGATAAATGATTGAATTAAAAGTGAAGTCCAGTTTCAATATGTTTGACACGAGTTATGGTTCCGATAGAGTTATTGTTGTCTTTTGTGTTGAATTGCATTAAATTGTATTCTTCTTGACATTTATCCATAGATATAGAGCTCAAGGAACCGGTAGTATTGCCACTGCCTTCAGATGTAAATCTGTAAAATATATCACTTTTAATAAATTGGACCAGAATATTTTATTTATTCTGTTATATTTGCATTTTCAACATGAAATTCAATGATTACTTATGGAGCTCGTCGTTAGCCATACATTCGGAGTCATTTTTATCCAAATGGTCCCTGATTATATCCGCCAAATGGTTCGGTGCTATCATTTTGACAGAAACTAAACATAAGATAAGAAATTCATATTTTTAATTCCAATATTTTAAAAATTAGTTTACTTCAAGACAAATTTACAAAGTAATGTACTTTATAATTCTGTAAATTTCACAGAATATTTACAAACTCTATTAAATTATCTTGATAAATTGATTTCAAATGATTTAGACTTAACTGTGATTGGAGTAATTGTTGTGTTTATTATATTTTTCAATACAATTTGCATCACTTATTTGAATCCTAAGTGAAGTCATATCATAGGCTTT